TTTTAAACTAATAAATCGAAAGCAAATATCCAATACTTTTTTTTTGTAAATTATTGAATACATACAAAGAACATAGAAAAGTAAAACTCACTAAATTATACAACATTTAATTCTAAGACTTTTCTATTTTTACTTAAAACAAAGTTATATCATGACTCAGTTACTAGAATTACCAAGTATAAATATCTATTCCTGTTTTATAAGGTAATAAATGTACCATTAAGTTACTAATTTCTTATTGTTTTGATCGTTTACGAACAGCGTAATTTTACTTAAAAATGTGTTCACAATAAACGTTAAAAGTGTTGCGTCGCAGATTTGTATACTTTAGGTAAAAACTTCAATTAAAAACATTTTTAAGGCTTAACTTTTTAGTTAATTAGTTAAGAAAAATTGTTCTACTAAATTAAAGTAAGTTAAAGTAAATGAATGTTCTAAATTACGGCTTTTCACTGTAATGTTTTAGTAATGTTTCAGTTGAACTTGTTTCCTCAACAGTTGCGGTATATAAAATATATGAAAAATGTGGTACTGAATGTAATTAAAGAATAGTGGTTGAAATTTTTGTTATTGTAATTGTATCTTAATATGAAATGACTCATCTTGTATATTTCAAGCAGAATTTAACAATGTGATATAATAATTTTATATAATTATATATGCAATTTTAAATAATCCTACAGAAAATATCAATACAAGTAATAATAGTAGAGAGTAACTGAACAACTATTTATGCAAATACATAATTTCATCAAATTACGTATTAGTAATTGTAACAATAATCAAACCCATTAAAATCATAAATTTAAAGCTGCTTTAATGGTTAGTATTAGAAATAAAAAAATTAATCTATTTTCTTAACTAAATGATATAACATCATACATAATAAACATATATTCAATACAAATATTTTTTGTGCAAATAATTGTTTTTCAATCATATTTGAATGTTAGAGAATACTTGAACTAAATGTACTGTATGATCTTGTATTGTACATTATTGACTTTCCTTCATTAAGGAGTTTTCTTTCTATTTATGTGCGCATGTTTTCATAAAAATAATTGCATTTTTATTGCATAAATTCTATAATGAATTCATTATTAATGAATGTGCTTTAATGAAAATGCTTTTATTTTGTTACCATGTACTACAAAATATGGCATTTTTAGTAACAAAAAAATTTTTTTATTTAATTATATTTCATTTTAAAAA